AGAGAGAGAGAGAGAGAGAGAGAGAGAGAGAGAGAGAGAGAGAGAGATGAGATAGAATACGAGAGTGCAGAAAAAAACCAACCCAGTCAAAGCAGCGAGCAAATGTTTTGTGTGCTTAAAACTCAACTAGAAATGATTGACATACTGACGACAACCGAATTTCGAATGGGATGAGGAAAAAAACACCAACCGAACATACTCATTCACTACCTTCGTCGTGGTGAATGCGACGAAAAGTGTCAGAAAAATGAACAAAGCCCGTGTCACCATCAATTTAAATCTTTCGTGATTGTATTTATTCTTCTAAACTTCATTTTGAAGAGAGAAAAGCCTTGATGATGATGATTTTGCTCGTTAGAGAGTTCCTTGCTTATGCTGCTGCTGCTGCTGCTGCAGTGGCAAATTCAAAACGATATACCACAAAAACAAGAGAACGCAATTCCAAAATGGGTCTGGGGTATGAGTGTGGGAAAATACGGCGAAAAAAGGATTTATTGTGTACTGCCTTAGTATAAAATTTGTGTTTCACCTGGTTTTGTTCCAATTGAATCCATTCAAAAATGATTCCTCGCAACAATGCCAGTGTTGTGTGTGCGTCAGTGTTTTCCACTCTAAATTTATGTAAATTAATCCTATTTCCGTTCCTAAACCACACTCTCGTTTCGATCGTTCCACAAAAAGTACATCAACCACCATTCGTTGTTGGAATATTGTGTGCTAACTCGGAATCGGTGGTGTAGCTAGTTGGCCTGGGTTGCCTCTGCATTTTTTATCATTTCAAGTCATTTTGCTGCGATGACTCCACTAACTATTATGTGCTTTCAATTCTCGGTCGATTTCGAATTCAAGTCTTAAAACTAATAATTCGAAACTTAATTCACAGCCACAATGCCAGAAAAAAGGGAGCATCCAAACTTTGCAACGAGTCGACACACAACACAAATGAATCGTGAAATGAGAGACGAATTTTTGGGTGTGTATGTGTGTGTGTGGCAGAGAGAGAGAGAGAGTGAAACCTCATTTATTAATAGGTTGAATGTATTTGCACTTATTTGCCATGACAGTTGCTGAAATTTAAACAACTGTAACCGAATGGAACAAACAAAAGCACAAGTCGAATTAGGTGCAAAGAAGGCTGAAAATATGGTGAAGAACTTTCGAGAACGAAAGAGAGAGATGGGGTTAATGATTGTAAGTGACAGGAAGAGAGAGGGTAAGAGAGGGGGAGAAAGAAAGAGAGCGACCGAGCATTTTGACTGTGCGAAATCGATACTGTGGCCGACTGAGCTGTTGCAAAGCGGCAAATGCTCATGAATCTTTGTTGTGTGCTGAAGAAAATGCTATCGAAGAGACGAGAAGAGAAGAGTGAGACAGAACGAGAGTAAAACCGTTTTGGGTTTTTGTATGTTGATTGAAAGTTTTCAACCGAATCTACCACGCCTCGTTTCCAGCTGCGTACTTTCTCGTCTTCAACTTCTAATTTCGTCTCGTGGAATAATACATTTTCATGAGTCGATCGACAAAGACAAAAGGGAGCGCGCACATGAAAATTGTGTGTACACAGGCGCAAAACAATACACATATAGACATACCGAATGCCACATAACAATTGAAATTTATTCCGAGTTTCGATTGAGGGGCAGTGTGTGAAATGGATTGCTTAAAGTCCAATTTCGTGAAGAAAAAACACAATAGCAGCAAGCAAGCGAGGACACGAAGAAAGGGCTATGGTGAGACAAAAGCTCAATTACATTCGCCCGAATACCAAATCATTGTGAAAATTGTGTATTTTGCTAATACACACATAAACATTGTCAAGTTTAAATAGCAAAATGTCTGAGATTCAATACAAACTGAATATGAATCAGTCGACTAGTTTTGTTTGTTCAATCTCAATGCAAATTGCTCAACTGTCCACATCTACACACACACACACACACACACACGCATTGTTTAATAAGTTTGAGTAGCAAATGAACGTTTATTGGCATTGTGTGGTTCTTTCGGGATAATTTATTCGTTTGTAATGTCGCTTCGTTCCGAGAATGTGTCGCATACATTTGACGATTATATGGAATTTGTGTCCCAGAAAGACCGATTTCAATCCAGTCCTTAATTCACTCGTCTCCAACCCTGCCACAAACACAAAAACAACGTCCCTGAGAACATTCGAGAATGGCTCAAAATGGCTGGTTTACCTACATAAACGTATAACTTGAATGGCTTTTAAATTGAATAAAGCTTCTATCATACAGATTTTATCATAAATCATGTGCAATTCACACATTTAGGACACATCAAAAAGAAATTGAATGCCATGAAAATGAAGCGTTGAACAGAACTTTTGCGAAGAGCGAAGAAGAAGTCAAGAGAGAGAGAGAGATTGAAATAGAGAAAATCGACTGTGCACAGTAACTGAACGATGAAAAAATATAACGAGCGAAAAAGTTGATATGATTCAATGCTGAGAATAATGCCATTCATCATCAATTCATTACCAATTGGCTGCTCATTCAGTGGGGTTCTACACCTTTCCATGCACACAAAAATTCGGAGGAAAACAGATTTGTTGACGAATCGCTTAGCTACAGCAATGCCATTCGCAGGCGCTCGCGCACTCACTCGCTGGCCCGCTCAACAGCGGAAACACAAGCTCACTCACATTCGTTCGCTCGCTCATTCATATCATATCAAATGGGATGCTTATAAATCCCATTCGTCTTGGTCTGATTAAAATTCATCAAAATGGAATTTACCTGTATTTTATGTTGAATGTATCTTATTGCTGCGTGAGCTACCTTTATATCTCTCACTCATAGAGTGGGCCCAATCCCACTACACCTAACTCACGGATATGCGTATGCCCGTGGACGATTAAATGATTTATATCGATTGCGATTGAGATTAAGATTCAAATTCCGATTCGGACACCCCCTGCCTCCGTCCCCGAATTCTACGAAATGCGGCAGCTATTTACATTTATGATTATTATTATTATTATTATAACTAGTCGACAACGAGATGGTTCGTTAGGCGTGATTCGCTACCGCTATTGCTGCTGCTGTTGCTATAACATTAGCTAATGCACAAATAAACCATCCATCTATCTCTGTGCCGTCGTTTGTTTGCTTAAAATTTTATCATTGTTTATGTTTATTCAATTTTGAGTGTTTAACGCTTTGCCTGTATTTATATAACGTGAACAGGAAGTCATCAAGGACCCCATGAAAAACGTCTGCTCAACAATTTGCTTGGTAATTACAACACACTTGAACGACCTGTATCCAACGAATCAGATGCGTTGACGGTTCGATTCGGACTAACACTCCAACAGATTATCGATGTGGTAAGTGTATTTGTGTAGAAAAAAACAAAACAATATATACGTACTGGAATGGATTACCACATTTTTTGTTGTTGTTCGAGACGAAAAAAAAATCACTCTTTGCGTGGATGGAAAACGAACTTGAAACGGATAGAAAAATAGCACTTACAACATGATTTGTTGAGTTTCGAACTCAACCTAAACACACGTTCTTTTGAACAACCATTCACATTCACATGTATGGTGTATGGGAAGCTATGAAGGTTTGATTTCCGTTTCAAACGATGCCAAATCGTTTCCATGCTTTTTGACCATACGAATAAAAACAATAACAACATCCTTTCACTTTCAGACTTTTCATTACATTCCGTTTTTTTCTCTTTCTCTGCTTTTTTTCTATCTTCTCCCGTTTTAGGATGAAAAAAATCAAATTCTCACGACGAATGCATGGCTGAACTTGGTATGTTAACGAAAAATACACAGCAACAACAGTAACAACAACAATAACAACAAAATCTGCACCGAACACAATTTCAATGAAGCGCTTCCCACTGGAAATTGTTATTATCATTGTGATGGGTTTTTACTCTGTGTGTCCATCGTAGGCTAAATCGCCCATTTTTATCAATTTTGTCATTATCATGAGCGTACACGATTTTTTCTCAGTCTTCTTCCAAACTTTTTTTGTTTACAACACGCGCTCGCGTTTTTTCCCGCGTTCCACTCGATGGCACATTTTTCGCGTAGGAACGCGAATGAGTGAGCTCTTCGAATTTCCAATCAAATAGTGTAATTTAAATGCACTCAATACCGCCATTCTACCATATAGATACCATTCATTCTACTCGTATGCGTTTCGCGCCGTGCATCACCACATAAAAACGCTATTCACAATGAAAATTAATTATATTTGAGTTTTTTTGTGCGAGCGCGCACGCTCCATTCGGTCATTTAAATTGAGTTTCGGCATACGCGATATTCGTTCTTTTTTCCCCCAGCTGTTGTGTTATGTTGTGTTCGATTTGTCCGACAGAGAAATCGAGAGAGACGTGCATCGATTGGGAAATTTTTAAATTTGATTACTACAATTCATTTGCATAAACGTTGTCATTTAACAACTTGTGGATGTATCCTCCTCCTCGATTTCCTGTAATTCGTGCCGATCTCGCACGCCAAACATTGGGAACGACGACGCGAAAAACCAATTTGCACATGAATGAAATTATTGTTGGTCGCCTTCCGAATCATTCCACCACCAACAACAACAATAAAATGGCACAGAGAATGGGAAAAAAATCAATGGCCATGGCGCACATTTCGATCTGGAGACGATACAAAAAAAAACAGAACGAAAAAAGTGCACCATTGTGAAGGGAAAAAAATCAAGTGAAAAAAAGTTTCTGTGACATCGAAATTGAAAATCAATTTTAATGTCAAAAAATTTATTCTCGTTTGACTGTTTGTGCTAACCTCGAATTCCAAATTAACGTATTGTATAACTCGACCGCTTGATTGGAATACAACGGTGATGATATTGACATTTTCCCTGTTTCATCATCAATTCATTTTCTTTGTTCAATGTGAATTGTGCAATGGGCATATTTTCGCTTTCTTTTGATTTATTACACTGGAGGACAAATGACGCTTGTTTTTTTTTACTACTGCTATTGATGATGCTGTTGTTGTTTTTGTTCCAATTGTCTGTGTATGCAATTACATATTGGGCGCACAATGAAATGACACTTTTAAACACGATGAGTCCCGTAAATTGATTATGAATTTTATTATATCGCTTTCGCGGTCATTGACCAATGAACACACACACGCACACAAACACACTCATGCACACATCGATGGACAACTAACAGGAATGGTTTGATTATAATTTAAAATGGAACGAGTCCGAATATGGCGGCGTTCGGGATTTACGGATAACCCCACAAAAGCTCTGGAAACCAGACATTTTAATGTATAACAGGTAATTGTTGTATTCTTCTAATGTAACTAATACACATTCACAAAAATACACACACTTGCTTGCCCACTACCGTTGCTAACATTACGTGTGGCTCATTCACTCGTTTATAAACTATTTATACAAACACACACACTCAAAAACAACGTATCAGCTTCATGCAGATTCCTGATAACCTCTCTCACTATGATTTAATGAAAAATAAATAATTTTGGGTCAACAAATATTTAGCTAAAATTTATTTCTCAATTCCAATGTTGGCCAACATGAAAACGGCATTGAGCCCGATTATTTGATTGTATCACTTAATTACATATTTGAGTGCATTTACATGTTTAGAAGCATCTCGTTTTAAAATTTAATTTTCGTCCTCGATTTGCCTCGGGTTTTATATCAATTCATAGGAAAATGGTTAGTAAAAAATTGCCAGCGTTTTATGTGTGTGTGTTTGCAGTACACGCCCAAAGTGGTGGAACGACGATGACGATGATGGAAGGAATATGGTTATTGCTTGGAAAACACTTTGTTCTTGGCATGAATTCAAGTGGAAACCATATTAAAGAAGCAATGTGCTTTTAGAGCACCAAATTCCTCGTACATGAAACCATTTTCCACTTCTCCCAAGAAATTAAGACATACTTTCAATGAAAAAATGTCCGCATTCTATTTACTCTTTACAGCGCCGACGAAGGATTTGATGGAACGTATCACACGAATATAGTAGTTAAAAGTAACGGAAGTTGCCTGTATGTCCCTCCAGGTAAGCGAATTATGTTCAACGAGATTCTCTGATGAGTGAACTTTATACGGTCCTAAATTCACACAAAACAAACATGCTCTGCTCCCCCCCACCCTCCTCTTCCGCTGTGCTTACTTCCATTTGCACCCTTTCTCGTTCGTTCACTTGTGCCTCAATCTGGTTCAATGCAATGATCGATGAGAGTTAGAAATGCTTCAATCAAATTTCAATTAAAAACAAATCAATCTACACGCATTCAGAGCACTAAATTTTCTCTCGTTGTGAAACGGACTAAATGTTAAGCGTGATTTGATCGATTAAATTTCAACTTGAAATTTCTTTAATTCCTGTATTTGGAAAATCACTCAAGCTTTTTTCTTCTCCATATTTGAATTTTGGAACGGCGATGACGGCCGACAGATTGGCCTCAACTGAATTGAAATTCATGTTTTCTATTTGCTTTTTCCGTAATTACAAACAGGCATATTCAAATCAACGTGTAAAATCGATATAACATGGTTTCCATTCGATGATCAACATTGCGAAATGAAGTTCGGTAGCTGGACATACGGTATGTTTTTTCATTGTTTTTTTTTTTGTCTACAGAGTAGAAAATTTAAAAAAAAAACGTATACACATGCTTCAGTATATATATGTATAATAAATAAAAATCATTTTTCTACAACTTTTTTTCCAGATGGCAATATGGTACGTATGATGAAAATGTCGGACGGTATTCCACGGTGCAGAGCTAGCATCTATGCCGTGAACACACGCAAACAAAACATAAAATTAACAAACACATGAAATCTGAAAACAAACAAAAAATTTATGACAATGAATAGCGAAATATTCGCTCTCCATCCTTTTCTCTCTCTCTCTCTCTCGTGCTTGCCGAATACGAACAAATAAGTATAACCCAAAACCAGCATCCAGACGACAGATTCATAGGGTTTTTCATTATCTAATCGTGCATATTACTCGTGTTTTATCCGTTTTTTGCACAATGTGCTGTGCCGTGCCGTGCCTATATGCCTGTACACGGGGCTTCTAGCCGTTTAGCGTAGCTCAGCAGCCACAACAGCTCACCGACCGACTACCATACAATATTGAATGCAAATGGTGAATGGCAAACGAGCTGTCAAACAAATGAACAGGCAACAACAGGAAAAATGTTGGATGCTTAGTTTATTGTTTTGAATGGCGTAAACGGTCGCGCGACACAATCCAAAACGATCACGTGCAACAAACACTGCGGCAACATGACACACTAAATATACGTTACAGATTTTGGCATATTTCGTATTCAATCCGATTCGATTTTGACACCATCGCCGCCGCCATCACCGTCGTCGTTGTTGCCGTTGTTGTTGTTGAATAAAGTATTCGTTTTCAGTAGTTTACTACATCTATTCCGGAGACAATATATTGCAATGTACAAAGGCCTTTTTACAACCTTCGCTCCACACGTTCATACATCGAAACATTTACGACAATTCAATATTGTAGACTTTTCAATGAAGAGCAACAACAAAAAATATTTTGCACCTGTTCAGTTTGCGCCGTTGTTGCGAAAACCCATGTTCTGAATCACTGGTAAACTGTAATCCGTGCTCTTCAATGCTGCATTTGCTCTCATTTATATTTCAAACGAATTTTTTTCGCCATCGTCTTTTGTTCCGTTCCGCCTCTCCTGTCGCAACGCTCGACAGTCACTAGTTTTATGTGTCTGATATTTGACTTGTGAAATTCGGTATATTGCTCCCTTCAGAATATTTGGATGGAATATTTGTCATCTGAAAAGAAAATAATAAAACGCTATCGAAAAACAAAAAAAAAATGGAAAAATAAACGAAAGAAAAGCTGCTCAAGAAATAAGTTTATAAACGGAAAGAATTGGAATGTCACAGAGAGAAAGAAAGTTTAGCAAAGTCTTGCCGTCATACTAGTATATACATATTGTTGAATGTGTTTAAATTGACGGTTCAATTCGATAAGTAGATCTTAACTATGAAATAAAACGTTTTACGCTTTTTTTCCTTCTTTTTTGATTTTTTCTCTTATTTCATTTTTTTCTTCTGTGCTCCGCTTTCGTTTCGATCTTTGCTGGGTTTTTTCGTTCTTCATCTTATTCCGTTGATGTTTGTGTTCTCGGCGGAATTTTTCGAACTAAAAACACATTCACATCGCTTTGTGCCTGGTTGGAATCTCATACAATACTCACAGCTTGATTTGGTATTAAAATCAGAGGATGGAGGTGATATCTCCGATTTTATTACGAATGGTGAATGGTTCCTACTCGGTAAGTTGAGCGCGTTTGAATATCTGTATATATTTATATGTATATATGTTGAAATCTCAGCTATCCAACGTTGAAGTTTAACATATACACGCGCGCTACGCTATGTGTGCAATTTAAAATGTGAAATTGTGTAGATATTCTTGTATGTTGCGCATAACAGAAGTGTACATACGATTTTATCGAGCGATGAAAAACCGATAAATACACACTTTCATATGATGTTGCTGCTGCCGGTAGCGCTTCCATTTTAAAGTTAAACATACAACACAATGTCTTAGCCGTTGAATTTTTCACCATATTTTCTCTCTTTTTTTCTTCCTCCCTCTCTGTGCAAACGAAAAAAAAAAAACAATATACAGGTATGCCAGGAATCAAGAACACAATAAATTATGCGTGTTGTCCCGAACCATACGTAGATGTTACATTTACAATTCAAATAAGACGTCGAACATTATACTATTTTTTCAATTTAATCGTACCGTGCGTCCTAATTTCATCGATGGCCCTGCTTGGGTTCACGTTACCTCCGGATAGTGGGGAAAAATTAACATTAGGTATGTACAGAGCTTTTTTTCCCTACCTTTCTTTTGTGAGAGAACCAGCGCCATTGTCTTTAAAACAATCTATATTATATACATTGCGGTTTTCGCTATTTTACTTTGCATATTCTCTTCCAGGAATTTCGATCTTGTTTTAATTTTCTCCTCGATTTGCTCTTTAGCTTTTCCTCTTTTTTTTCTCGATATAATATAAACAATTAGAATACTTGAGCATTCTATTTGAATAAATTTTCTTTCAAGCGGTTTACAGCTTTGCCCTTCTTTAAATAAAAACAAAATGAGTTTTTAAACGATGCGAAGAAGCAACGAAAAAAAGTTAAAATGCAGAAAATTAAGAAAATTAGTTGAAAAAAAGAATTGAGGTAATCCCAGAGCAAAGAAGAAAAAAAATGTAGGCAGCGTCACCGGGGCACAATTAAGTTAGTTAAAATGTTACGAATGAAACGGAATCATGAAGAGTTTACATGTTTCAATGCTTGTTAATGCCAAACTAGTAGGTCTGAAAACATCGATGGCATCGCGTGATCACCATATTATACTATAGCCAAATATTTTTTGAGTTTCCACACGTGAATTACAACTATACATCGAACTAACGCAACCAAATGCAATGTAACGAAAGGGATACAACAACAAAAAAAATGGTATAACCGGATAAAAACCTCGTCGATGCTGTATCGAGGCAAAATTTGGTTTCGAGAGCGGAATAAATTCAATTGAACACATTAGAAAAGGGAAAAAACGTGATGGAATAGGGTAGATGAAAAATGTTCGTTTGTCGAATACGTGGGTTACATACCGATTTACGTCGTGTCGTTCGTGAGTGAAAAGAAGAAGAAGTAGATAGAGAAAAAAAATACAAACTCTTCTGAAGAAGAGATGAAAAGCGTTTTTTGTGTCGCTCCCTCTTCATCATCTTCTTTTCGTCTGTGGATTTCCAATTTTTCGGATCGGTCAAAGGGCACGTAAAAATGTCCTTATCAAAAATTAACTAAATCAATATCGAAAGATATTCTGACCACATTCACATGACTATCACTGGTGGTTCTATCTTATTTTTTCTCTTTAGGGTATATACTCTCAATTCACTCTTTGTTTCCTATCCACAGACAGTGACACAAAATAATTTATAGGATTGCAACGATTTCGATAGTCGTTGAAACAAACTCTTTTTTTCCTATCTCTGTGGGTTTCTTTTCCATTTCCACGATAGAGCACTTATACCTGGCACACATTCGAAATAGGGCATAAAAAATATATGTAACGAACCACACAGACTACTACTAAATTTATTAAAATATTACCTCCGTTAAGATTGGGTTATTTTTATTAGACAAATTCTGCTTTCATTTTTCTGGCTTTGATTTGTTTGTCTACTTGCTTTTTGCAACATATTTTTTTTGTCTCTGCACTTGATGTAGAAAACGAATAAATTTCTATTTCTCTCTAGAGTTCAAAGGGTACGCCTACATACATAGTGTTACTGTTACAGTGTTATAGGTGTGTGTCAGGGTATACGTGAATCAACATTGAGATAGGTTTCATCAAGCAGTCACACGTAACTTATTCATACAGATAAATTAGACACACAGACACATAAAATCGGACAAATTAGGAGATTCATCGAATTGAAGAAGATATCCCCAGCCCACAAAAACAAAACAAAAAAAAAACCACATAAACATACGTAACAATAATCAACATACAAACTACAAACTTAAAACAAAAAATAAAACCCCAAACTAAACCATCGCATCAATTTTCCGTTTCAATTTAGGTGTTACAATTCTACTTTCGTTAACTGTTTTTCTAAATATGGTGGCGGAGGCAATGCCAAGCACGAGTGAAAGTGTACCATTAATCGGTTGGTAGTAGGCTCTGGGTGGCCTCTCTCATTATATACTCTTAATTATTAAGGAAACAAAACAAAAATCTGCAAGAGCTTTAAAAAAAATCGTAACCATAAATCAAAATGCAACCCAAAAAAAACATTCCATTAAATGCCATTTTCATAGCAGTAAAAAACCGAAACAAAACAAAAACATGCTATATCTAGATATACTACTTGTGTTGTTGTGATCGTCATTTTAGAGCGTTGCTAATTTGCTGAGTTGCATATTGTGTTTTATTGAAATACCTACCGAAAATACTTCTTTGAAATTGTATGATTGTGTCGTGTCCGTGCATAGAAAATTAAAAAAAAGAAAACAAAATCAAATGCGATCGTGACCAAAAGTAATCAGTTGAAACACCATCCAAAAAATATATTAGTACATTTCTGTGGACTGATAATTGCCACCTGCAGCCTCGGATTGTGTTATTTTCGTTTGTTCTTGTTCTTGTTTTTTCATTTCTCTCCATTTTATGTTCTTGTCATTTTCTGTGCAACATTAAAAAGCGGTATTACTGGTTTTAGTTTTATATTAGTTTTAAATGGGATGTGTTTTTGAATTTTGAGTTTTTTGCCTAACTCTAAGTCTTTTTTAGCCGTATGTTTGTCTGGATCAGAAAAATTTGTTTTTCCCTAGATTTTAAACAAATCATCAACCATCCTTTCATTGGCCTGTTGTATGACTGTTTAGTTTTAATGTTAAAACATTCACCGTGTTTTTTTTTGTTTCCCTTTTCCATTCGTTCGTTTGTTTTCTATCATCAAAATGTGTCGTTGAGATTAAAAATGGGATTAGCCGAAACCGCTCGTTTACATTTGAATAATTTTTTTGTTTCTGGTAAGAGATAGAAGACGGATGTCTTTTACAATGTTTTAGAACATTCTAAGATCTTCATCTTTGCCTGAGATACTTGCTTCGTATCTCTCACCAGAAACACAAAAATGATTCACATGTAAACGAGCAGTTTCGGCTAATCCCATTTTTATTCTCAACGACACAAATGCATTTCAACTTTTTATTTTCCATTTCTAGTCTGGGTAACTTTTTTTCTTCTGGTTCTTCGTCGTTCATTTGTTTTATAAACATGAATGAACACAAAAAAAGTGTATTCTGGAGGGAAACTTACCACTTTGTAAGCGCCAGTTATAATTTTGTTTTTCTTGCTGGCATTCAAATCTCGGAAATTAAATCAACAATCTTTCTACGGTGGAAAAAAAGTAGCGCTGCTTTGTTTACATGAAATGAAATTAGTGCGAAAAACGCGCATAGAGTATAGAAAAAGCAGCTCGTCCACGATTATTATTGCAGTAAAAATGTGCGCTGAAAATGAACGTGTGCCTGTTCACGTTTGTGCTTAATGCACACTCAAATTGCGGTTGAATTGAAGGAGAAATACGTAGAAAAAAACACCAGGAAAAATTTATATATATGTATTAACGACCGTTGAAAAATTATGTTGAAAAATGTTTGCGATTTTTTCTTCTTCCTTCTTCTGGTTGCAAATTGCTGTTGTTGTTTTTATTGTTGTTGTTACCTTAGCATTAAACATGGTATGTAATGCATACTATGCATTAGCTCACCTAGTTTTAATGGTTTCACCGTGTAGACAGAGAATGAACGGGCAAAACAAAAAAAATGTATATGCAGCAATGAATTTATAAATGAATGCTAATCATATTCATGTCCTATAAACACGCATACAAATGGCAAAAGCTGGCAAAAACGCAGCACCCATTGCATTCATCACGAACCAAGTCATCACACACATATATATATATATATATATAAATATATATATATTAATGTGCTATAAATCCAAGGAATGCGGTTAGAAGCAAATACGGAGTAAAACAGAGAGACAAACGAAGAGAAAAAGGCGGACGAGAAAAAGACGATGAAAAGCATAAAAAAAGTTAAATCGTAAAGGAAAATGAGCGTACGAATGCAGCTCAAATGCCGAGAAATATTGCAGATATAAAATGATATCACAAGTTTGTTTGCCGCTCAGCGCTCGATTTTTTCCAGCACCGTGTTGCTGTCTCATTCCATCAGTCAGTCACACACCATCAAATCTTTTCGAATCGGGCGCAAGCAAATGGGATCTTCGGCGTAGATTTTTTTTTTATTTCATATTAGTTTGCAAACGTATTCAAAACGATCTATGGGAATGAGAGTATATAAAATTTGCGGACGCGTTTTATGTGCAGCAAAAGATATAAAAAAACCGAGAAAAAGTTTGATGTTATAAAAATGTACGCCAACGGACAAATTGTCGTCAATTCAAGTCAAACCAATATTGTGACAGGTTTGTCTGTATGGCCCTTAGCCATCAAAAACGAACGCTTCCTTGACTGATTCCATTTACAGTTCGTTGCTTTGTTTTCGTCGTCTCATGACTCACGGGCCAGGGATCTATTTTGCTGAGCGCCACGAATGTATATCTATCTCTTTTGTTGTAGCCACGAATGTATATCTATCTCTGTATTTCGCATTGTTTTTGCTGCGTGTTTTGTTGTTAAGTTTTTCTTCCTACAAAGAAATTCATCGACTTCATTGTTGCTACTACTGCTGTTGCTGTTTCTGATGTTGTTGTTGGTTTTTCATATCATTTTCTCTAGTTGCAGTCACTCCTCACTCTCGTTTCTCTTTACATTCTCTAGCTCCTAGTATAATGTGAAGCGGGAAAAAAAGAAGAAGAAATGTTCTTTGCTCGATGTATATGTATATGCTGCGGAGCTGTGCATGTTTTTTTAATTTTCTTGTAACCTAGTTAACGAGTGAATTGTGACAAACACACGTAAAAATTGTATTCACTTCACATTTAAATTGTAAAATCAACATTTGCCAGAAGAGGGACGAGAAACGAAGACAGAGAGACGGAATGCGTTGAGTTGTTTGTTGAATGGAGCGCAATGACTGTGAGTTCCCTCTCTTCGTTCTCGTTTTTCCCGCTCGCTCTTCTTGCTCTTGGGTTCTAAAAGCCCCATTCCATATATACATATAAAAAAATATACGGCTTTTGCTCACACACATTGCACACGACATATAAACAAGAAAAACTTTGCAGCAATCGCTAGTGCAAATTGAATGCACTTCAGCTCCGCAGGTCTGCGAAACGAATCAACAAATTGCTCAGTCGAGGATCAAGGAATGGAAAATCATGTGAGCGCGCGAACGAGTGAACGGACGGGCGTACAAAAACCAGCCGAGTTAGAAAATAGAGAAAACGAAAACACTGAAAATAAGAATGAAAGGGGCGATGAGCGTGAGGAAGCAAACGAGCTGTAAACTACTGTCGGTATTACTGTATTTCGAATGGTAACGGTGGAGGGTAGCGTAGAGAACCATAACAGAAAAATGCACAAAATACTTTTTGCATAACAAAGTAGTAAGACAAATGCTGGAATTCCTCCCCAACATTAACCATTTATGCACCTGATAAAATATTTTTCTTACACTTCATTTAAGTGCAATAGAAAAGTTGCGAAACGAGCAAAACGCTTTCATCGCCACCAACAATGTGTTAACATTGCCACTTTGCTTTCAATCGTAAAACCATAAAGTTTCTAGCTCTACAATGTGTATGTGGATAGGTAAATATGTGTGTGTCTGCGCTGTGCGCGCGGTGAAAAATCTCCCCGAACACGATCAAGTGCCAAACCGACTAACTGAAAAATTGTTCGCACAAGCAGCACACAGCTCACATGAACACGCTGGCGTCGACAAGCGAACAAATGAGTTGCGAATGACAAATGAAAACTTTGTGTTGATTTCATTGTTAGGGAATTGGTTAAAGTGCTTCAATTATTCAAAAGTGTCAAAATGAAGCAACGAGGGCGAAGGCAAGTGAACGGGCAAACGGTGATAGCCATCAAACAGTAAAAATGAACTCAACACGAAAAGTAATATCATTTGGCCGTTTAAAATGTTCAATAATATGCAGAGCGTTGCGTTGCCTCATCAAATGGAAATTCCTTCGGGCAGCATTCCTAAAGAATTCCCGGGCATTAATAAGTTCATGTTGAATTGCTATTCGTGTTTTTTTTCTCCGCTGCTCAGTACTGTTCTTTTCTCTTGTTCATCATCGTTGACGTCGTCCGGCTACAATTTCGGTTTCTTCTTCAAGTTTTCTCAATTCATCTTTGTTAGAGCTCGCCGATAATACGGAATAGCAGCTAAATTGACAATTCATTGTTTTTCCAAACGCAATATGTTGTGCTCAAGGCAACAATGATATCTATCGCTTAATCCAAGCAAATATTCACGAAGCAACAAAGCAAATGAACGGCACGTGGCCAGCAGCACTCTCGCTTCCACTTTGCATTTGCATTTCGCGTGGAACGACACGCGAATCCATATAAATTGAAAGCACGCAGGACCTTCAAACTCATTAATTATTTCACAGATCAAATTATTTTTAATACGTTTTTATCCCCCTATTCTGCCTGGAAATCTCCGCGCTATTGTTGTGTCGACGTGTTATCGTATGAATTACAGCGACATGATCTTCAACTGCTAAAAATTATTATTTTCCACAGCAGAGGCCAGATTTGCAGTAACAAAAAGGCCACTAGTTAAATCGCCAGTCTGACCTTTCACGACGGAAAATTCATAAGGCGAAATGATCTCTCTTGAGCAAACCGTCCAACAAACGAACAAACGAACGATGAGCACAACAGCTTACAGATAATATTTTCAAATAATCTGAGGCATTAGTGTTGAATGAATGACAGAAGAAGACCTTAAAATGTATTTGTTCCTGAATTTTGCTCATTTACTCATATTCGTCAAAAAATAATGATGATTCATTTATGTAATAATTCAATGAACATCTGTAACAGAGCGAAAAGGAAAAGGACAAAGTACGCTGACAGAGAAAAAAAATTGTCAATGCAGTTTTTTTTGCCCATTTCGTTCCCATTTCAGTCATGGGCACACAGTGCAATCCATAATTAACATTAAAAATTAATAA